TGTTGTATTGCAAAGTCTTAAAAGCTCCGAGAGCGAGCCTCAGACCCCGGTGATGAACGTTGTCTAATAAATTGTGATATGAAGGTCAAGCAGATCCATACACAATGGAACCGTAGTCTAATTTTGATCTAATAAGAGCTCTATAAAATCGTAGCAAAACTTTTCTATCAGCTCCCCAAACAGTGTGGGACACTACCTTTAGAATATTCAGTGTCTTAAAGCATTTGGCTCTAAGGTATTTTATATGAGGAAGGAACATTACACCTTAGAATTTGGTTTGCTCAACAAACACCACAAAGAGATATATTTGGATCGTCGTGCATAAAAAATTCGGCATACAAACTGCATGAAGTAATCAACATAAAGAGCGCCCTCCATTGGAGGGGATAATGCTTTGACAATATTGTAAATTTTAAGTCCAAAAAGTGTAACCGTGAGAATGCTGGCTTGTACGTCCATTTCCTGCTGATGAAACATCGGAAAGAGTCGTTCCATTCCGGATTTGAAATACTCTGATAGAAAATTTGAAATAAAATTAGGTAGATTACCTCTAATTCCTATATCATGCAGATCTTTCATTATGTCATATTTCCACGTTGTGCGCGTAAGCCTTTCGCAATTGTTGTAAAACAAATAAAGTTTATATTTATATATCTTTCATTATGTCATATTTCCACGTTGTGTCGTAAGCCTTTTCTAATTCGAAGAAAACAGCAACCAAGTGCTCCTTCTTTAGAAAAGCTTCACGCACAAAGGTTTCAAGTCTAACCAAATGATTATTGGTACCTCGCTTAGATCTAAAACCGCTTTGTAGCGGTGATATTATGCGATTGGAGTCCAGATGCCAAATTAATCTTGAATTTATCATCCGCAACTCGTGAGTGAAATTGGGCGGTACCTGGAGGGATCTGTCATATCTTTACCCTGTTTGGGGATTGGAATCACAGTTGCCTTTTCCCATTACTTTTGGATATACCCGATCTAAAAAATATAATTAAAAATATTAATAAGTTTTTCTAATGAAAACTCTGGTAGATGTTTTAGGAACTGATGGTGAATATCATCAGGTCCTGTTGCAGAGTCATGTGAGTTTTTTCAACGATTCTCCAAGTTCTAACATTGAGAAAAGTTGATTATGAGTTTCATTCTTTTCGGAAGAGAATTTCAACTTAGTTTTTTCTCGAGTGGTCTTAAATTTTAAAAAAAAAAATTGGAACTTTTATTTGCAGACCACTTTTCGGAAAAAATCAGATCCTAAAGCATTTTCAATATCAAATTTCGATGTGGCTAATTTTACATTTGTTTTCAGATGTCCCATTGTGTTAAATGATGTTTTACCGCTGATTCGTTTAATCATATCCCATACCTTTTTAGTGGATGCATTGGAAATTAATTCGGACACATAAGATCTCCAGGACGATTTTTTAGCTGAAGCGTATAACACGACGGGCATTTGCCTTAATGATCTTATTGTTGTTTAAGCCATCGCTTGTGGGATTGTTTTTGGATTGCCTCAAAGCGGTTTTCCTATTTCTCATAGCTTTATCACAATCTTCATTAATCTAAGGTTTTTTGTTGTGTTTTCTTTTGGACTCTGGTATTCATTCTTTGGCTATCTCAAAAAGTTCGGTAGCAAAGGATTCTATCAGATCTTCTGAATTCAGGAAATCGATGGTGTTGAGAATTTTGGTACTAAGATGTTCAAATTTACTCCAATCTGCCTTATACAATTTCAAATGGGGTACATGATCGCTCTCTGTGGATCTACAAATCCTTAGAAAAATTGGAAGGTGGTCGCTTCCACTGAGATCGTCATGCACTGTCCATTCGAAATCGAGTAACAACGATGGGTGTCATAAAGTTAAATCAAGATGCGAGAATGTTCCGGAAGAGGGATGCCAATAAGTTGGAAATTGATTATTGTAAAGACAAAGATTATTTTCCAATATAATTTGTTCAATTTTTGTTCCTCTGTCATGAGTGGCGGGTGAACCCAAGAGGTTGTTATGACCATTAAAGTCACCCAAAAGTATGAATGGGGGAGGTATTTACGATAGAGTTCGTCTAGTTGGTTGTCCGTAAAATCAGTTTGAAGAGAGATAGATAGAGCGTTTTATTGAGCGTAACACTAATAGCAGTTGTCTGTATTTAATGGTTTATTTCTGTGAGAAACTTGGTTGTCAACCAGGATAGCAACTCCACCGCTTACTTTGTTGCTAACACCAGCCTTTGTATGGATGGTAGGATGGACCCGACACAGGCTTTTCAACAATCTTCCTTGTCTCGGAAAGGTAATGTTTTTTGTGTACTTGACGCGAAGGATCTCTTTTTTCCTTGCGCCAAGCAGAGCAATCTCTGGAATATGCTGGATACCTTCCACCACTTCGCGAAGTGAGCCTGACCATTACAAGCACCATCTGCCGACTCATCTTCGTGGCCCGCAACTCCACATTTAGCACAAACTTTCTGGGTTTTTTTAGCAGTTATCAGAATGATGATTAATTTTTTTTTTCAAAGTGGGTTTGGAATTTATACATCCACGCCAACACTTCCGAAGCCAACCTTGACACGTTTTGGTAAGATTGAAGTTTTAAAAGTAAGCACAAAAGTGTTGGTGTCGCGGATGTTGCCATCTCGCTTCACCCTGATTCGTTTAACATCGTGGACATTTTAGTGCTTTTCTTTGGAGTAACTGAGGATGTTCTATTCGCTCTTCCTGAAGAGATGGACAGCGTATAACGCCCTTTGATTTGTTCAGGGAGTAATGAGGAATAACCTGTACAGCTATGTCCAACAACTTTGTCATTCCTAAGAGGTTCTTGGCCTGTTGCTTGCAGAGAGCTTCCACAAGGAGTTCGCCAGACCGCAGTTTTTTTTAACACTCTTTGGAGTAACGCATGTTGACAGGATTATTTTCCTATAAGAAATGGTGGAACAGGTGACATTGGTTTATCCTTTTTCCAACGATCGTATGACGATGAACTGGTTGAAACTACGGCCATATTCTGAGTCCGATGATGAAGGACAAGGTCTTTTTTTGTGCCCATAGTCAGGTGTTTAGATTTTCATTACTCGTGCTCCTCGGAGCCCAACAAGGGGACACTACTTACTGTACGGATCTTCGGTACAAGCGTGCCAAGGATACACAGGTAGTATACTCGAAAGAACAGAACTCTCTCGATTTACCCTTAAGTCACCACCTTCTGGGATACCACTGTAAAATAAAAACTACAAAAATAGATGGGAATACGGTTGAGTGAAATAAAAGGAAAAAACTTAACATGTGGTACATAGAGTTCACCCAGAGATTGGCATGACCAGCCGATTGGTCATTGAGGGCCGGAATGATCACCCGTCTTACTGAGATAAAGACCAAAGTGATGCATTGAGGAAAGGCCATGCGAGATTGCTTGAGAATAAAGCGCAAACCACATATCCGCCCCTCAACCACCAGGATCATTTCTCCTAGTACTAACGGGACGCCACCTTTTGCCCCTTCTAGTGGAGTTCTACCACATGCAGTAGGACACTGCGGATATTATACATGGACTTAGTTGGATTGAATTGGTATGTATAAATAATATATAAATTGGCTTTCCACTCTCTAGATTTAGATCTAATAAAAGTAATTTAAACCCCAATATAAGCTTTTTTTCTACAAATATGATCATTAGGATTGAAACATAAAGATACAAATGAATTCATTTCTAATCTGACTTGCGGTAAAATAAAACCTGTACAGCGGAAATAAGAGAGATGGAGAAACAGATTTTTTACTTAGTTTATCCTACAGGGAATGATGAATATAAAAACCACACAATAAATGGGAAACAATTATACTTTCCAAGGAGTAAGGCCTGCATATCAGTTCATATAAACTATGACTTAGATATATTTCTATATGATTTGCATCATAGAAATGAGATAGAACGCATAGCAATATTGCATATTGGCACCATGTGTGTTGTTGTTGATAAAGATTTCATGTAGATCTCTACTTGTGTAGTTATATATCATGGACACAGTCGGTTACTAGTTTTATATTTGCACAATTACTATTTTGTGTAATTTATGTAACCTTTCATCATTGTCATGTAATAAATACTTGTTGCATTGTTTATTTTTGTCGAACTTATATATTACTTTTTAACTTTCACTCTACAGAATGTGATCCTCCCAAATTCCGGTAAGCAAATATGTAAGATTATCAGTAATATGTAGAAAGTGTGTAGTTACTATGCGTGTTTGTGTTATCAGATTGTCATTTTGGCGAGACGTTCTTTTTTGAACTCCCAAGCCAAAATCTTAATATTAAACTTCAAATATACCACTCGCCAATATACCTTCCCCTTTAAATAAACCAGTAATTTTAAAGACATTATTAAAAGAATAAATGTAATTTTGTAGGGGTTAGCTCCCTTCCAAAACAATATCGGGAGCCGTAATTTCACAAGGTTACCACATAAAAACGTATATATAATTGTTTTTTCGTCTTCAAAATGCCGTTAGGGTATATCATAGAGTGTTTGGGGGATAATTTTGGGTGTTTTTAGGTAAATCGTTCTGCCTGTTTCAACGGGGTGCGAGTGCAGCCTAATATTAAGCCCGATCTGACGATGTAAACAAATTTCGCTGTGAAAAATTAATATACTGAGAGAGACGATAACGTACCGTGAATATAACATGTTCCCTAGTAGTGACACAGTGACATTCAATGCTAACAATTCTCAAAGTACTTGCAATATGTGTGTTTTTACCGGTTGATGGCCCTATTGACCTTTCACGTGTTGAAGGGCCGTTAAGAATGTCATAATAATAATAATAACAACTTGCACTACTGACATATAACTTGCAAGGACCGGAACCGGAAATTGTAGCTCTTCACGTACTTGCGAAGTACACACTACAGCGACATACACATGGCAACAAACATCCACGTACACGTCGCTGTAAGTACGATACACATGTCCCTGCTGTGGTGAATACTTGTTGCTGTTAATATGTCTTTCTACAGTTTATCCATAAAATTCATATATTTAATGACAGCGTTCCTTTACTGTACCTGTCATCCAAGTCCCCGATGCTTACTAATATCTTTTGACGGATTCCGTTGGGACTACCTGAACAACAATACCTTAACGCCAAACTTTAACAAAATAATAAAGAATGGTGTAATTGCTACTCGTGGAGTAGTTAACGCTTTCATCACAAAGACATTTCCCAACCATTACAGCATTGTGACTGGCTTGTATGAGGAAAGTCATGGTATCGTAGGAAACACTATGTACGATCCTGTCTTCAATGAGGTGTTTCATATCAGTAACAAAGAACAAGTCACTGATTCCAAGTGGTTTGACAACGGAGGAGAGCCTGTGTGGGTGACAAATCAATTACAGGGATGTACGCATCGCAGTGGTGTGTTATTTTGGCCAGGAGACGGGGCGGCAGTAAAGGGAGTTCTGCCCTACAAGCATGAACTATTCAACCCGGACGTGAAAAACGAAAGCAGGATTGACAAAATTATCGACTGGTTCAATGACGAATATCCTATTAATCTTGGTCTGCTATACTTTGAACAGCCTGATGCACTTGGTCATGAAGTTGGACCAGATTCTTTGGAAATGAAAAAAATGATTGAAGCCTTAGATGGAGTTGTTGGATACCTTTTAGAAAAAATTGAAGAGAACGACTTGGGTGATTTAAATGTGATTATTACAAGTGACCATGGAATGTCTTCAACACCAGAAACAAAGATCATTGACTTAGATGAATATATCAGTCCAACATCATATCAGATATTTTCTTCAGATCCGATCGGAAGTGTACTTCCAAATGAAGGTAGATTTTGTGATTTTATTTATATAAATCAACAACTGAAATGAAGCACAGAAAATTCTGCTATCAAATTTATTTTTCTTCAATAATATTCAGTTGTCCTTGACATCTGGCAATTACCATTAGTCATATCCCATATCTGGAAGATCAAGACATGTGAAATAGATATATCAGTTTAAACTCAAGAGTTAAAACTCAGTTTTTAGAGAAGGAAGGTTATGTATTCAGATATACTCTAAAGCTCAAGAGACCACTGATTGTCTTATTCTAATTGTATGGCAGTGAGCCATTTGCATTATTTTTTTCTATCCGTGCTATGACAGATATACAGGGGTACAATGTAACTGAGGCTATAAGGACACAGGAGCACAGTATAACATGATTAAAATATTAATAATTTGAAATGCTTAATTCATTCTCACTTAATTAGTAGTGTATAAGCCAATCTAAAATTTTGATATGAAAAGTTCTCATGTTTTTTTAGGGATGGAAGAGGAGATTGTTAAGAACCTGTCTACAGTGCCACATCTACATGTATACAGAAAAGGGGTGGATATACCAGAGAGATTTCACTATGAACACAACAGACGGATACAGCCTTTACTATTGGTGACGGAAGAAGGATATTCATTGCGTCATAATAATTCATATGTTCCAAGTTAGTCATATATCATCGATAGTTATTCTCTTACATATAGCTGTTCTTGTTGTTTTAAGTCGTATACTTGAAATAAATCTTAGGTTGTAAGTAACCAGTAAGCTTACACATATCAAGTTTATGGAAAACAGCAACAAAACAACCACTTGTAGTAAATTATATCACCTTAATGTTGACACTAGACATCCTCTTTTATCAAGTTATGCCCCCTTTATGTTGACACTATACAGCCTCTAATACCAAATTATGCACCTTTAATGTAGACATTATACAGCCTTTTATACCAAATAATGTCCCCTTAATGTTGACACTCTTATACCAAATTATGCATGGTACAAGCTCTTATAGAAAATTATGTCCCTTTAATGTTGACACTAAACAGACTCTTATACCAAATTATTTACCGTAATGCAGACTCGATACTGCCTCTAATACCAAAGTATGTACCCTTAATGTTAATATGGTACAAGCTCTTGTATGAAAGTATGTCCCTTTAATGTAGACACTATACCACCTCTTACACCAAATTATGTCCCATTAATGTTATTTTATCTTTTATGAGATAATCTAAGTTGGCATCAACATATGTGAATGTATTTAATTTATAGACCACCTGGAGTCAGGGCTACTTGCCATAGCCCTCTTGAAACTACTCACCTGCATTAGATTCCTTGATGACATTGAGATTTAGTAGACATCTTGTTGAATCTCTTGAGGAACTCATTTGTTCCACAAGACTATCATGTTTCCTGCTGACATCTGACTCTTTCTATAACACATTCCACACTCACTAATGGAGAAATAAACACAAATTTATACAGTAAACCCACAGCCCTTACCACTTTCAAAATTACAGTTTTATGCAGTTCTACTCTCCTACTGCTTTTGTACCTATTTAAGATTGCAGCTGATTTTGAACTTAACCTCAGAAACAGAAAACAAAGTTTTCTTTTTTTCCCCTTTTTTATTCTACCTATGCATATATTAATTTAAATCTTGACGGTAAAACTTCTGAATTATCATCTTTATGTGACATTTCTCATAATCATGTATAAAAGCAGTACTGATGGTATGTGTTGATTTTACAGGAGGTAACCATGGTTATGACAACAGATTACCTGACATGCACCCATTTTTTGTGGCAATGGGCCCTGCATTTAAAGCTGGAACAAAGATAGAGACTCTCCATAATGTGGACATTTACCCCTTGATGTGTCATATCATGGGACTGAAACCAGCTCCAAACAATGGATCCGTGGAAAACTTCAGGTCCATCTTGAAGGGTGAAGACAGTGATAATGTATTTCTTGTTTGTAAGTACCAACTGTATAAGGTTTAATAGACTATAAAAAATGTGTGTAGATTAAATTTTGTTTTAATGCAGCCTTATAAAAATTGTAAAAAAAAAAAGACAGTTAAAAGATCAAACCTTTGAAATTTACTGTAGGTAATTCCACACAGGTACACACTTTCTTGATCAGATCCAGGATTTGGAGTATCTCTGTTATCTCCGACCATTTCTTTATCAAGATAAGAAGTGGAAGTATATTTGTAATCCCCCACTATACCAACCTGATCAGGATAAGGGATGGCAATATATCTGTGATTCCCCACTACACCAACCTGATCAGGATAAGGGATGGCAATATATCTGTGTTCTCCCACTATACCAACCTGATCAGGATAAGGGATGGCAATATATCTGTGTTCTCCCACTACACCAACCTGATCAGGATAAGGGATGGCAATATATCTGTGTTCTCCCACTACACCAACCTAATCAGGATAAAGGATGGCAATATATCTGTGTTCTCCCACTACACCAACCTGATCAGGATAAGGGATGGCAATATATCTGTGATTCCCCACTACACCAACCTGATCAGGATAAGGGATGGCAATATATCTGTGTTCTCCCACTATACCAACCTGATCAGGATAAGGGATGGCAATATATCTGTGATACCCCTCTACACCAACCTGATCAGGATAAAGGATGGCAATATATCTGTGTTCTCCCACTACACCAACCTGATCAGGATAAAGGATGGCAATATATCTGTGTTCTCCCACTATACCAACCTGATCAGGATAAGGGATGGCAATATATCTGTGATTCCCCACTACACCAACCTGATCAGGATGAGGGATGGCAATATATCTGTGATTCCCCACTACACCAACCTGATCAGGATAAGGGATGGCAATATATCTGTGATTCCCCACTACACCAACCTGATCAGGATAAAGGATGGCAATATATCTGTGTTCTCCCACTACACCAACCTGATCAGGATAAGGGATGGCAATATATCTGTGATTCCCCACTACACCAACCTGATCAGGATAAGGGATGGCAATATATCTGTGATACCCCACTACACCAACCTGATCAGGATAAGGGATGGCAATATATCTGTGATACCCCACTACACCAACCTGATCAGGATAAGGGAAGGGAGTATCATTGTGATCCCTGGATAAGGGGTCGGAGTGGATCTGTAATACCACACTATATCACTTCCTGATTAGGATAAGGAACAGGGGTATCATTGTGATCCCTGAATAAAGGATGAGGGAGTAAAAATCTGTGATCCTCCATTATGCCACTTCCTGATCAGGATAAGGGGAGTGAGTATCTTTGTGATCCCCCACATTTCCTGATCAAGAAAAGGGCTTTGGAGTATCTTTGCACACCACGAAGTTCGGTGAAAAATCCTTACTCCTAATGCCTGAAGCCCTGTATAAATGAAAGTATGGATTGTGACCTGTGTCGGAAGTTTCAGTTGCTTTAGACAGTTTGATGTTGATTTATCTACCTTTTTTGTCGCAGATAATTTGATTATTGTAGCCAATCATTTACTAATACATCTTATCAATTCCATTTGTAGATATTGTGATTCTACTTTTTATTGCCTTGGTCGGAGGAATATTCAGCATTGCTGCATGTCGCCAGCAGATCTTCCATCGTCGAAACAGAAAAATACAGTTGAGATCACTAACAGTTTTGCCTAATTCATTTAAGAGCCTTTCTACTACAATGAATGGGGGACATGTACCTCTACTGGTCAACTCTGATACAGAGGATGAGTTTTAAGTGGTTTTACATCTTTTGACATGTTATTTATCTCGTACATGCTTATAAATAAAACATTGATATATATGAACGTATTGCAGCACTGTATAAATGTTTTATAAAGTACAATGTAACAGAAATCTTTACCCAAATCGGAAAATTTCACTTGTTTCAGTAAATCTCACCTGTATTAGGAAATTTTACCTGTATCAGTAGAATTTACCAACATCAGACAACTTTATCTCTAGCAGTAAACATTACCATGTATCTATATCTTAAAAATTGTGTACTTTACATGTATCTGTAAAAATTATGTGTATAAATAAGTTTTACAAGTGTCGATAAGCTTTACAAGTTGATTAATTATCACTTATATCACTAAACTCTACCAAACATCCAGAAGCTTTATTGTGTAAGTAACATTTACCAGGTATCAGTAATGTTTATCTGTATCAGTAAATTGGAAATCATTCCATGATAGTCTAACTGTTAGTATGACTAACAGAATACATTCCATTTTGTCAGAATTTCTATTTTAGATTTCTTATTTTGTCTTTGACCTCATTTTAGTGACATTGAGGCTTGATGTGTCTCTATGTAACTATAAAGCAAAAAATGTTACATTCCATTGCTAAAGCTGAATTGATGATTTACTGGTATTCGTGTGATAGGGATCATTCCATTGTTTATAAAGAATGGACCAAACCATAGCTATGCTATTGTATAAAATATACATTTACTGATATATTTCTTATCTGTAAAAATCGATCAAATTTTGAACCTCTTGTTGAGTTTTAGTGTATAATATGATAGTATAATATCTTAATAGGATAAATCATGAGTGCAGGCATAAAATGCCACCATTCATAAATTATCCTATTTACCTAGGTATCAAATGCTGTACCTGTTGGAATCTTGTGGATAGTTGTTTTCCAGATTGTTCATAGATTGTCAATGATTTGTAACTCCAGTAGTGTACAAACTTATCTGGAGGGTTGATTATGTCCTTTTGTTTCTGGCACATTTTAATAGTACCTGTAGTACTAGGGGATTAGACAATGTATTTGAGATCTTGTACATCGTGGTTTTATGTTTTATGATTTCAGAGGGATATTAGTTTTGATGTCTGGGACATTGTAGATTTTCTGTATTTCTCCTGCAATAAGCCCAGGAGGCTAATACCAATTTAGGGGCTGGGCTTATTATTAGACAATGTATTGTCAATTACAACTTAAAATATATGTAAGTGATTCAAGGGAAATTGCAATAAATGTAAGGGAGCATATTACCCAGGATGGGCTTAATGGCAGTACATTTAGTTCAACTCAGTAATTACATGTTATTTTTAATTAGCTGTGTTTGTATTGTATATGTTTTGATAGTTGATCTCAGTTTTATGGTCAAATTTTAAAAAATATCATCATGTTGATATGGAAGTTATAGATTGTAAGGGATACAAATACATGCATAATATTGCATAGTATTTTCTAATTTATTGGTTGTAAGGATGCTGACAAAACATCCAACTTTAAAAACAGTCTTATTGGTTAAAATATCCGTGGGAACAGTCAGGTGAGGTATAATATCTCTGGGTAGGGGGAACATTCAGGTGAGGTATAATATCTCTGGGTAGGGGGAAAAGTCAGGTGAGGTATAATATCTCTGGGTAGGGGGGGAACAGTCAGGTGAGGTGTAACATCTCTGGGTAGGGGGGAACAGTCAGGTGAAGTGTAATACCTCTGGTTAGGGGGGAACAGTCAGGTGAGGTGTAAAATCTCTGGGTAGGGGGAACAGTCAGGTGAAGTGTAATTACCTCTGGGTAGGGGGAACAGTCAGGTGAAGTGTAATTACCTCTGGGTAGGGGGAACAGTCAGGTGAAGTGTAATACCTCTGGGTAGGGGGAACAGTCAGGTGAGGTGTAACATCTCTGGGTAGGGGGGAACGTGTAAAATCTCTGGGTAGGGGGGAACAGTCAGGTGAAGTGTAATACCTCTGGGTAGGGGGAACAGTCAGGTGAAGTGTAATACCTCTGGGTAATTAGGGGGAACAGTCAGGTGAAGTGTAATTACATCTCTGGGTAGGGGGAACAGTCAGGTGAAGTGTAATACCTCTGGGTAGGGGGAACAGTCAGGTGAGGTGTAACATCTCTGGGTAGGGGGGGAACAGTCAGGTGAAGTGTAATACCTCTGGTTAGGGGGGAACAGTCAGGTGAGGTGTAAAATCTCTGGGTAGGGGGGAACAGTCAGGTGAAGTGTAATACCTCTGGTTAGGGGGGAACAGTCAGGTGAAGTGTAATTACCTCTGGGTAGGGGGAACAGTCAGGTGAAGTGTAATACCTCTGGGTAGGGGGAACAGTCAGGTGAAGTGTAATTACCTCTGGGTAGGGGGAACAGTCAGGTGAAGTGTAATACCTCTGGTTAGGGGGGGAACAGTCAGGTGAGGTGTAACATCTCTGGGTAGGGGGGAACAGCCAGGTTAAGTGTAATGCCTCTGTGCAGATTTAACAGTCAGGTGAAAAGTAATTAATTTTGTAACTCAAAATTGAGGGAAATAGAAACAGCTAGCTAATGTTATCTGGTAACCTCAATACCTGGAAGATTTGGTTGAGAAGAGTAGATGGGTCAAGTTAAATTAGATAGATCTTAGGAAGGAAGTGAGTTGGATGAGCCTAAGATGTAGTGAACTTTTTTTTTGGGAGGGAGGGGAGGGGGGTGGGTGGTCATTCTGAAAATTATATCTGGTAAATATATATAAAATGTGACACTTATCCCAGGAATAAATTATCATGGCAATACATACATGCATGTAAGAAAATGTAAAAAGGGGAGAAACTATGCAAATAGCTTGTAGATCATTTTTAATAACTTGTAGATCATTGAAAATGTGAACACATGTATTTGTGTAAATGAGCATGGATTTAGAAAGTGAGTGTGAGTATGTGATTTTATCCATTCTTATTAAACATATAATTAACATTTATTATATTGGATAGTGTATTATGGTAATGCTGTATTGTGATGGATCACTTCATCCAGGCTTTTTGCGCAAAAAAGGTACTGGTTACCAAAATGTAAATATCATAGTTGTGTCTGTTAGTGGGTATTCAGCAATATTTGTTTTGGATCCTGTCATACAGGCACTGATTACTGACAGGATCGTGTCATACAGGCACTGTGATTACTGACAGGATCCTGTCATACAGGCACTGTGATATTACTGACAGGATCCTGTCATACAGGTGCTGTGGTTACTGACAGGATCCTGTCATACAGGTGCTGTGGTTACTGACAGGATCCTGTCATACAGACACTGTGATTACTGACTGGATCCTGTTATACAGGCACTGTAATTACTGACAGGATCCTGTCATACATGTACTGTGATTACTGACGGGATTCTATCATACAGGCACTGTGATTACTGACAGGATCCTGTCATAAAGGCACTGTGATTACTGACAGGATCGTGTCATACAGGTGCTGCGATTACTGACATGATCCTTTTATATAGGTGCTGTGAATATTGACAAAAAATTGGATGTGTAATAGCCTAGCATTATTAAAAGTTCTATATATTTGTGGTTGTTATATTGATAAGATCTTAAGGCTTGTAGGTGCTAGTGTTTATGGACCTGTAATGCTCATGGTTCGGTGTCATGTTCTATTTTTCACTTGACTAATATTCAACAATTAAATGGATATTGATACTCAATATTGTTGCTCAACCATTGTATTTATAAAAGCAAGCATAATGTTGTATAAGGCTGTATCAACTGATGTTCATTATTTTCAGCATTGTGTAGGAGAGTGGGATGCTAAATCATGCAAAAGGTTATCTGGGTTGTCTGGGTGATTTGTCCCTCCTCTGCAGAGTGAGTTCACTCACATTTCGGTTTGTCCTGTTAAGCGGGTTCCCTCTTGGGTAGCTTTCCTTTTAACTTAATTAAATACTTTTCCCCTTTTTGGGATCATTGTGGTACTGTTGTATTATACCAATGTATGTACATTTAACCCCATTTAGTGGGAAACTGATGCTGAGAATTAAAATTGTGTGCCGATATCAGTAAATCTGTTTAAAATGCATGACTGTGATTCACTACAAGCAGGCTTCAAATTTTACTAAAGACTTTAATTATTTCTGGATTAAAATGGTAGTAACATGGCTTGAAGCACGCATTGTTGAAGAGACACCAATTTTATCAAAGTAAATTACCAGTACCCTGGCTTACTCCCAATATTCTGAAGAAAAGAAATTAGAATGCATGAAAAAGGGCATTCAAATTATACAGGCATTTTATAGTTTTCAGTTATTGTCCTTGAACTTATAAATTTGAAGAAATTTTTTCTTCCTCGTGCGGACAGATGACTCCAAAGCTATCTATGTGTGTGGCTAAGTAGTAATGGTTTTCTAAGCTGAATTCTTATCTAAATTGAAATATTGAATATTATAATTAAAATCTGTTATAGTTATATACAGTAATACAATATCTTTGTTTTCATAAATGATAACAATGTAATAGTTTGCAGGAGTGGTGACATGTATTGTCTCAGAAATTCTCTGTATGCTTAATGTAAATAAATTTGTATCACGTTTTTTTTAATCAGGTTTTATTGGAATTTTTGTTCTGATTTTGCTTATTTTAGTTTGTTAAAAACTTCTTCCAACCATATATATTGTTGTCCATGTTAAATGTAATCCAACATACACAATATTTGTGTATATATATATCCAGCCCTATAAAGTCTTTCTAGCTAAGTCTTAATATATAATGTGTATAACTCTTCAACTCCCTTGATACATAGTGCCTGTGAGTTGGTGTCACTACATCCATCCTCCATGTGTAGCTTAGTCTCGCTTACAATAAATGCATTAATATCAATCAGATAAAAGTAATCGAGGTCATTTGTGTAAGAATTTCAAACAATTAATTTAAAAAAAAAAAAAAAATCTGATAATTGACTTTGATTTTGTAATTGAAATAAGTGATATTGTATCAAGGTCGTAAAGGTCAGATGTGAAAACTGATGTTTTCCTCGTTAATCTAACAAAGTCATTGCACATCTGTGTAAGAAATCTGCCAGCCATTATGTTTTGTAGATTTTCATTGGTGTTCTTGTCTTGGTGAGATAGAAATGAGTGATACAGGCCCC